TAACAAATTTATTAGAGCATAAGCTTTCGTGGGCTACTGCTCTAATAAATTTGTTAGTCTCTAAGGTGCCACAAGTACTCCTGTTCTTTTTGCGGATACAGACTAACACGGCTTCTACTCTGAAACCTGTTTTGTAAGAGTTACAGTTGCATTCTCTCAAAATAACAACACTTACCAATCCTTTGTTCTCCTGTAGTGTTTGCATATGCAGAGGTTTGAGATTTTTCTGCTGCCTTTGTGCTAAGGTATCTGGTCTTTTAGCTCAAGTAATAGTAGCTCATTAGATCTAGCGGTCCCAGGTTCAACCCCTGCAAAAGACCTAAAGATGCTGATACATATAGAAGAAAGTTTTAATAAATGTGGTTATTTGTGTGATTGTCTGTCTTCTTACCAAATAATTAGCAATATTTCTTTCCGTGTTCGTGTGTGTGTGTGTGTGTGTTTTTTTTTTTTTTTAATATACAAAGTTGTGATATTGGGGGTGAAATCCTGGCCTTATTGAAGTCAATGTGAGGTTTGCTATTCACTTCAGTGGGGCCACAGTTTCACTCTTGGTATATATCTGGTTTGTCTCTGAGCTTCCATTATCGCATGTAGGAATGTGGGGCCCTGATCGTGCATGGCGCATTAATGTGAGGGTCTCTCTGTATGAAATATTGCTTAATAGTACAGAATGTGGCTCACTGATTATCTGAGCATTCTGAATGGTCTTAAGGTGTAATCCAGGGTAGAGCACAATGCAGTACCAATCATCAGGGTGATAGAAGCAAGCATAACTGATGAGGCTTGCATCCAAAATAAAGTCATTGTCTTTTTGCCAAGTATGTGTAAAAACGGCTCTTAGAACAAATGCCACTTGGCTATCGAGAGGCAATAATAAACCATCATGAACCCTCAAATTCTGAACCTGTGTCACAAATGATGGGCACACGACCTTCAATCAAAAAGCTGGTATATCCTGAGATTCCTTCCAGTTGCCTCCTCCAGTCTCTGCTCATTATCTTAGTCTTCTGTGGATCGAGTCTCTTCAGGTTAGCTCTCATCCAAGCTTTACTCTCTGTTAGGCACAGGGAAGGATTCTCAGTCATGCTAAGATAAAATGAAGTTTTAGATATAGGTGTCATACAAATACACATACATCCTCTCTGAGACATGTCAAACAAAGTGGGTCGTGTGGAACCCTGCCAAAGAGAGTTGTGGGTGCAGGTGAACAGTGACCCATAACCATTCTTTGGGAGCGCTTAAAGAAAATAGTGGAGCCATTTGAGCACAGATTATTCCTGGGGGAATTTTGCATCAAAAAATTAAAAATTCTGCGCACAATATTTTAGAATTCTGCAAAATAATGCATATTTTATATTTCAAAATAACAATATTATCATGCCACTTTGAATTATTTTGGTAATTTATTTCATAATACCTGTCAGCAAGTATGTCTGTATCAATACAGACCACAAAAAAGATTCAGGAAATGTTTTTTGACAAATAGATTTCTTACTAGGCATATTAATATAGAACTTTGAGTAGTAATTCATTTAAACTACAATACAGAAATGTATTTCCTGCACTCCTCAGAAGCAGTGCAAAGGCTTGGGGGATTCGGGTAGTGGAGGAGCTGAGGGAGAGAGAAGTAATTGCTTGGAAGGACCCTGGGAGTGAACCTAGAAGGTTGTTGGGTGTGGGCGGGAGAAGTATTGAGCAGTTGTGTTTTTTTTCAGGTGGGGGGCATAAGGAATTGTTGGGGACCCCTCCCCCATGCAGACCCTGGCTGATCTCTAGCCTCTCTCATTCAGTCAGGCACATGTGCCTCTGTCCCCCCAGCTAGCTCTTCTGAGCCCCTCCAGCAGTCCCATGTACCCTATGCTTTCTGTCCCCCCATGCCCTGTACCTCCTCACTTGGCCCCACGAGCAGGGCGCTGTGAGGAATGCAGCATCTCCTCCTCCCTATCTGCAGCTGGCTGCTCCCACCCAGGAGCAGCTAACCTATGTTCTGGCGCCATAACAGCCCCTGGTGGGTGAAAGACATAACTAGTGGCTCTTTAGCAGAATGTATTTTCTGTGGACAAAAAAAAATTCTGTGGGGAACTTGAATTCTGCACATGCTCAAATGGCGCAATATTCCCCCAGAAGTAACAGATTTGTCAGCAGCACCTGATGTTTTGCACTCCTGAAGAGAGGTGTTGACATTCAAAAACAACTCCAGAATTTACCCACAGGCTTTCACTAGCTAAGAAGGACATGGATCTAATTTGTATACTGGTATGTGGGCTACACATATGCACACAGTGAGTATATACTTGTGCATTTGGTACCTAGATGACATTTATATGTACAACTACTAAATTATCCCCCAGATAGTTTTCATGGCTTAGTTTTAAAAATAACATTGAACTTTGTAACTATAGTTTATATAGTGCCATTTTAAAGAAAAATAATCTAAACTGCAGTAGATAAATGAATGCGGACTTTGTTATTGCTGAAATGTGTTGATGGTGCAAAAATCCTTCGTCTTCCATTTTCCTTCCTTTCTCTGGAAACTATAGGGTCGTCTGATACTAGAGAAGTTTTCCTAATAGTTAAAAAAATTAGTAAAACAAAAAAAGCCTGATTCATAGATTAACTAGTAATTTTTTCATTAGCTGATACTTTAGTCAAAGTGTAACTTTGAGATCCTTTTCTTTTTTGTGATACAAAACATTTGTAGGTACCTCTGCTGAGCTAGCCGAGGAGGAGGAGGAAGAGGAAGAATTTGACTGGGAAATTGAACAGACCCCTTATCATGAAACTGCAGAAAGCACTTTACATTTACAATGCTGCTATGGGTTTGGAAATTTGAAATCAGGAGTGTTCCAGCGATTGCAGGTGTGTAATTTTTCTTTAAAAGTGACCGCTATTAAGTTTATTTATAGTGTTTGGTATGACCTAGCATGCTGATTTCTATTTGACTTAAAGTCAGTGCAATAATGTTTCAAATGTGTTCAATTTAGCAACATGTATTCAGAACAAATCATGTCAAACCAACCTCATTTCCTCATTTGACAGGTTTATTGGCCTAGTGGATAGTGGGAAGCAGTAGATATGATATCTTGATTTTTTTGTAAGGCTTTTGACACAGTCCCATATGGCATTCTCATAAGCAAACTAGTGAAATGTGGTCTAGATGCGATTATTGTAAGGTGGGAGCATAACTGGTTGAAAGACCATACTCAAAGTGTAGTTCTCAATGGTTTGCAGTAAAATTGGCAGGATGTATCTAGTGGGTCCTCACAAGTCAGTCCTGGTTCTGATACTACTCAGTGTTTTCACTAATGGTTTGGTTAATGGATTAGAGCGTATGCTTATAAAACTTGCGGATGACACCAAGCTGGGAGAGGTTGCAAGCCCTTTGGAGGACAAGGTTAGAATTCAAAATGACCTGGATCAATTGTAGAGTTGATCTGAAAGCAACATGATGAAATTCAGTAAAGATGAGCAAAGTACTGCACTTAAGAAGAACAAATCCAATGCATAACTACAAAATGGGGAATAATTGGCTAGACAGTGGTACTACTGAAAAGGATCTGGGAGTTATAGTGGATTACGAATTGAATGTGAGCCAACAACATGGTGCAGTTGCAGAAATGGCTAATATTCCTTTTAATACGCATCAGAGTGTTGTATGTAAGACATGGGAAGTCACTGTTCCACTCTACTCGGCATTGGTGACCCCTCAGCTAAAGTCTTGTGTCCAGTTTTGGGTCTCAGTTTAAGAAAGGTGTGGAGAAATTGGAGGGAGTGCAGAGGAGAGCAACAAAAGTGACAAAAGGTTTAGAAAACCTGACTTGTGAGGAAAGGTTAAAAAACCTTGCCCTGTGTAGTCTTGAGAAAAGAAGACTAAGGGGGGTCCTGATAACAGTCTTCAAATATGTTAGTCTGATATAAAGAGGATGGTGATCAGGTGTTCTCTATGTCCACTGAAGCAGAGCTGGAAGTAATTGTCTTAATCTGAAACAAGGGAGATTTGGGTTAGATATTAGGAAAAACTTTCTAATTATAAAGGTAGTTAAGTTCTGGAATAAGTTGGAATCTTCATCAGTGGAGGTTTTTAAAAACAGGTTAGACAAACCCCTGCCATGGATGGTCTAGTTTACCTGGTTCTGCCTTAGCACAGGGGGAGTGGACTTACTAGATGACCTCTTGAAGACCCTTCAAGTTCTAAATTTTTATGATGCTATGTAATTGAAAAGATGGGTCTGAAAATGAGGACAAACAATACTTTGAACTATCAACTTGGAAATGCAAAGATTCTATCTAATGCAAAATGAAATGATTGTATAGTCAGTTCTGTTCTCTTGTCTGAATTGCCCAGCTGTAAAATAAGGAAAATACTACTTCTCTACATGAAAGTGGTATGAGGATAAACATGCTAAAGATTAGAATACCATATAACGACTTAAAATACATAGATATGGGACAGATATGGGAATTTTTTGTAGTACTTTTATGAATCCAGTGTGCACCTCAGTTTCCCTCGGTTCTTTGTACTGCTATGAGCTGAGCGTAAAGAGCAGGAGGCGTAGGTGTTTTGTCACATAGCTGCCTGGCGTCACTGCAGATACTTGCTGAGGTGCACTGATCCTTGAATAGGGTAAAAGACTCCTGTTCAGAGACCATCTCAGTTGGATATTCTGGGCAGAGTTCATGGAGAGAAGCAGGAGTGTTGGAGCCCAGATATTCAGTCTCTGAAGCGATGGGGCTGTGTGGCCTATCCTTGAGGAAGAGTGGGACCTCTTGGGGATCTGGAATGCTAAAGGGGTGCCTTCAATAAACTGTTTAAAAGCTAAGGTGTAGCACATATCCTATGGATCCATGGCAGTATATTAGTGAAGTCAGTCACAAGACAAATATGTGGGTTGTTTGTTGGTAAACTGTGTTTTTGTTTTCAGAGTTAGTGCTAAATGCATACATCTTGTTTAATATAATTGTAAAAAAAAATCTTGAATTTATATCCAAAAATTAAAGTATATCCTTCAAAATCCACTTTTATGAGAGTTGTATGTATATATATATATACTATATATAACTAGTTGTATGTGTGTAGTCTAGGGAGAAAGTTCCAGCTAACTTGCAAAAGAAGTGCATCAGTCTGGACTAATTACTGCATTCTTGTCTGACTAGACATGTTTGTCAGATAGTCACAATAATAAAGTTATTAACTAGATAGTAAAACTGCTTATGGTTTTAGAGTTATCTCAGAGTAAAATGAACTGAAAAGGACACTTCAGTTATTCACACAGTTATTCAAAACAATTGAAATGAGATTGGTGTATGTAGTATTTGCCTAGAAGAAACTGTTAGTAACTTTGACACCAATCCTCCAAGTTGTTCTGCTTGGGTAGACTCTGTAAAGTCAGTGGGGTACTGCTCAGGCACAGGAATCTACGTGTGTGGAACAATTTGCTGGAGTGAAGTCTTAAATTGTAGGCTTAAATATACACTAAATGGTTTCTTTGTTTGACTGTTTGTAGTTCATCTCCATCTTATTCCAACCTGCAGGGAATAAGGATTACATAAAGATATCAGAAATATGTACAGCATTTATTATGGTAGATTATAGACAATTTACTAACTAAAGTTTTGTTTATGTACATAATACCAATAGGTAGAAGTACTAGCCGTTTCTATCCGCTCTAACTGTAATACCAAGGCCATATAAATTGGTTACTGCATGAATTATTATGTCTTAAAGTGGAAAAGTGAAGTAACTTTGGGGGAAGGCTTTCATGTTCTAATAGCACGTATATTAATTGATCTGTTGCCATGGAATTCCTGCCGAAGTACACATTACACCCATATTAATGCCCCATTAGTTTATTACAGTGAAATTCCAAATTATTAAGGATTGCCCACTTCAATATTAACCGTGTCAATTTGTGCCTAAACAGTCCTGCAATCTCAGGTGCAGAGTGTAGAAGTCAGTGGGGATTTGGGGATACGAAACATGTTGTAGGGCTGGGCCCTAGAATTGCAAGAACAATAATGCCTGTTTTTTTTTGTCTTTGTCTTTATTGCAATAGTTTTCATTAAGTATTGCAGATTTGAGGCACTAATGAAAAATAGTGCATCTTTTTCTTTGTAACCAAGAGAAAAGCCCAAACAGAATTTATAGTGTTTGAAACACCTAAGGCATTTGGCCATTTTTTATTTAAGCAGCTCAGTCTGTATCTAGAAGGTGTGGTGCAGGTGAGCAGAACTGATTGAAGTAGATTTAACAAGACCAGCACCCAATTTTAATTACTACAATCAACATGCAATCAATAGCAGGTACATTATGAGTCAAAAAGCAGTAGAATTGTAAAATATGGGGGAAATACTGGATCCAGGTCAAAGCTTTTTTTATTTTATTGTTTACTGTTTCCACTTTAGGCCAATGTCTTAAAAACAAAATAAATGTAATTATACTAATTGTGCATAAAAACAAATTATGCAGTGAAAGGCATAGCATTATGACCCAGAATTAAGGCTAAGATTTTGTCATGGATATTTTGGGAAAAGTCACGGGCAATAATACAAAATTAATGGAAGCCCGTGACTTGTCCCTGACTTTTACTAAAAATATCCATGACAAAATGGGGAGCCTGGGCATCTGCCGGTGGGCTGGGACCTCCAAGTGTCCCCACCATCCATGTGAGCTTAGAGCTCCCCGGTCACCCCGCCACAGCGGCGACAGGGGAACCCCACAGCTCCTTGCCTCCACAGGCAGCAGGGGACTCTGCAGATCCCAGCTGGCGCTGGTTGAAGTCACGGAGGTCTTTGGCAGTCACTGATTCTGTGATTTCCATGATCTCTGTGACTAAATCGCAGCCTTTCCCATAATGCATAGCTTTTCAGTAAGGGAGACTTGGTAGTGGCACCTATCATCCTAATAGCTCACCTTAGTATTAGGCCATTCAGCATCGCTTCTAAACTTTTATTTGTTCTTTTTGTTCCTGTTGCCTTTCCAGGATGAACTCAGTGATGTTATTGACGTTAAGGATCCAGACTTAACTCCTGCAGATGGACGCAGACAGAAACGACTGGAGACTGAGGCTGCTAAGTTTGATCCTGATCATTATCTGTAAGTACTGCTTTATTCCTCCTGATGGAGTGAATTTACATCAGCTAAAATAAATGTATTTTGTCATTTAATAGACGATGGATTTTAAAATCTCTTTTGAAAAAAAATGGGTTTACTTTTTATTTGCCTGACTCTTCATGTCTCGTAACACTAGACTTTAGAGGGTATTCATAAGTGTGACAGCAACACAAGATATTGCTCATCCACTTCAGGCTTACTTTGCTGCTCAATTAAACTCAGAGGCCATTCTGTACTCAAGCAGAGCTGCTGCTGCGAACTGCAGAATATTATTTCATAGTTGACCTCTCAAGCATCAGGGTAACCAGTCCTTGCCAGCATTTTAGGTTGTAGGCATCATAGTTTTGTTTTCTCCTGAGTAACAATGGCAGTCAACCCATCTTAACCATGAGCAGGTAAACAGTCTCTTTTTAGATGGATTCTACAGTGTTTCTCTGAGTTCTGTAATCATTTGACTTTTGCTTAAGTCACCCTTCATTTGTTGCTCAGATCCCATCCCCTTGTTAATGAGCCCTTTGTTCTGAGGAATGAGCACAGAATTTGGGCAGAGACTGGGTGCGCACTCTCAAGCAAAATTCTTTATGCTCCTTTTCCAGATTATTTGTTCCTGTGTAAGGCAGGTAGAAATGGATCTTATCTGCCTTTCAAGGAAATTCTTTCAAAATTGAACCTTTCAAATCAAGGAAAGGACAAAAACTCATGGATAGATATACAGCCTGAAAAATTGCAAATAAATGACTTCCTTTCAGGAGGGTTCTTTTCCACGTTTAGACCTCAGACACCTCTCTTCAGCTGGTGGCAAAATGACAGTCTGCGGTAGGAAGAAATTATTTTTGGTTTCTATAAACTTTGAGGCAGAAGTTGTCAATCCCCCTTAATCCAGTCTGCATGTTTCAGGGCAAAGAGTGTACTTCCCAACCACAGAGCTCTTCTCAAAGACATACTCCAGGGGGAGTAGAAAGTCTCTCTTTCCTCAATCAAATCTTTTGAAAATAGTTTTTACTGCAGCTGAAATAGTTTGATATTAATCTGATGTCAATTACAGGAATGGTAAATTTCAGCCTGAGAGACAGTCTTGTAGCCTGTACAGTGAGGCTAAATTCTTTGAAATCAGTAGACATTTGGGGTTCATAGGCTGCAGGATCAAGCCTATTAATAGCGTTTGTATTTTCATGTGTGTATTTTGAGATTTTAAAAAAATACCGCTATTAAACTGACTCCAGTGGCACTTTTCATCATTTGTGTGTCCCAAAATGGTACCACAGATGTATTTTGGTCTGCATAGGGCATGTGTCTACCAGATTTTTAGACACTGTGACTTTCAAATGATTAATGCATTTTTGAAAATCAAGTGAACTATCTTCAACAGTATGTAATAAACCCCACCCAGTGGAATCACATGTTTTGGCCATGTGACAGTCTTAAACTTACTTCATGGTTGTTTAACACATAAGTCTGTCTTTCATGTGCAATTTGTCTTTTGATACTTAAAAAAAAAAGGGTGATTTGAACCTCTCCTCTTACCAGCAGGTCAGACCCACTGTCTATGATTCCCTGAAGTTCCTTCTTCCATCTTAGTGCAGTGTCCTTTCTTGTCAGTTGCATTTTCCAGGAAAAAGCAGCTTTCATATTTCTCTCTTGGAGTTGTAATTGTCCTCATGGATTATAAAGGAGGGTAGCTGCTGTGGAAATAACAGAGGTGTGTACCACAGCTGCAGACTAGACAAGGAGATGACTTAGCAATTGGGGAAATAATACTTTCATAATGTTCTGTCAAAGACTTAAATCTCCCTCTTCCTTTTTATTCTATGGGCAGCTCTCAAAGCGTGGATTTTTGTAATAGAATTCTATCTTTCCTTACACCACTCAGAGTCTCCGATGAAGGAAAAAAATGACTGTGGAAGGGAAGGTGGTACATGTAGAGGCCATACGTAAGGCAGTGGAGGCAAACAGGAAATACTGTCTGTGCAGGAAAAAATAGGCTGGGCTATCCATTAAATACATTAAAAGAACCTGCTATTTATTACTATAAGAATAAACAGACTGTACTTTGTATTTTAAATATTTGGGTAGTACTCGTGAATATTAAGAAATATTTTCTGCATTTTTACCATGAATTGTAGTCCTAAATGTTCTTGTTTGTTTCATTGCTGTTTGGTCTGAAAGGCAAGATAGGATGATAGCAGAAAACTTGGAATCCTTTGTTCATTAGATAATGATGGAGAGAGAAAATGGACAAAACATAGGAACAAGTGACTCATAAGTGCAGGCTTGAAAACTTTGCTAGGCATGTACTAGGCTGCAGGCTAAACCTATTAGGTAGGTACACAAGGTGATGGCTAGTGTGGTGGGGGATGGGGTGTGACTCTAAGGAGGTCCAGAGGCAACACCCTGCAGGGAAATCCAGGCCCCAGCCTTTGCATCTCCAGCTGCTGGAAAAAATGGGGATGGTGCAGTGATTTCTAAATGTGCAGCGATTTCTAAATGTGTTCTCTATTTTGACGTATAGAGCCCTAAATGAGTTGAGCCAGGCCTGCTTGAGAGGCCACCTTTCAATGTGTAACACTGCCATTTCTGCAGTCAGCAGAGACGCTTTGAGCTGGAGCCCCCTTGCCGTGAAATGGAGTTTTCTGGCAGCATGGCAGTAAGGGCTGTCATCTTTGGAAACTATTTCTTCCTGACTGGTCCAAAATTTGTCAACATTCAGGACTTCCTGCATTGCGCATCTATTACCCTAAGCTTTGGGGAGGGAAAAGGAGGGAAAAAGGAGTGTATTGTTTAGGTTTTCATCTGATCTTTGGTTAATTATTTTTTGGTGTTGAGGCAAGGAGCTGATTTTGGTTAGGTTTGTTTTTAACGTGATTGTACTTCTAGTAGGGCTATCAATTAATCACAGTTAACTCATGCAATTAACTCAAAAAAATTAATCACGATTAAAAAATTAATCGCAGTTTTAATCACACTGTTAAACAATAGAATCCCAACTGAAATTTATTAAATATTTTGGATGTTTTTCTATATTTTCAAATATATTGATTTCAGTTACAACACAGAATGCAAAGTGTACAGTGCTCACTTGATATTATTTTTGATTAACAATATTTGCACTGTAAAAATGATAAACAAAAGAAATAGTGTTTTTCAATTCACCTCATACAAGTACTGTACTGCATTCTCTTTATTGTGAAAGTGCAACTTACAAATGTAGATTTTTTTTTTGTTACATAACTGCACTCAAAAACAAAACAATGCAAAACTTTAGAGTCTACAAGTCCACTCAGTCCTACTTCTCGTTCAGCCAATCGCTAAGACAAACAAGTTTGTTTACATTTACGGGAGATAATGCTGCCCACTTCTTATTTATGATGTCACCAGAACATGAGAACAGGCATTTGCATGGGACTTTAGTAGCCCGCATTGCAAGTAGGGATGTAAATACCGTTTAAAAAGTTAGCCATTTAAATTATTTAAAAATATTTTGTTTAAATGGTTAACTGATTAAGGGCCGGCAGCTGGGGCTGCACTGGCCGGGTGGCACTGCTCTGGGTGGTGCGGCAGGGGCCACGCTGGCTGGTGCAGGGCCATTGGGATCGGCGGGCTGGCCTGCCTGGAGGTTAAGGCAGGTTAACCAGTAAGGCTAATGCTTACTGCTTAACCGGTTAATATTTTACATCCCTAATTGCAACATATTTACATGCCAGCTATGCTAAACATTCGTATGTCCCTTTGTGCTTTGGCCACCATTCCAGAGGACATGCTTCCATGTTGATGGCGCTTGTTAAAAAATAATGAGTTTATTAAATTTGTGACTGAACTCCATGGGGGAGAATTGTATGTCTCTGGCTCTATTTTACCCGCACTCTGCCATATATTTCATGTTACAGCAGTCTCAGATGATGACCCAGCACATGTTCATTTTAAAAACACTTGACTGCAGATTTGACAAAATGCAAAGAAGGTACCAATATGAAATTTTTAAAGATAGCTACAGCACTCAGCCAAAGATTTAAGAATCTGCAGTGCCTTCCAAAATCTGGGAGGATGAGGTGTGGAGGAGCATGCTTTCAGAAGTCTTAAAAGAGCAACACTCCGATGCAAAAACCACAGAACCCGAACCACCGAAAAAGAAAATCAACTTTCTGCTGGTGGCATCTGACTCAGATGATGAAAATGAACATGCGTTGGTCAACAATCCAAAGCAGTGCGATCGGGCAGAACCTGTCATCAGCATGGATGCATGTCCTCTGGAATGGTGGTTGAAGCATGAAGGAACATGTGAATCTTTAGCGCAGCTGGCATGTAAATATCTTGAGACGCTGGCTACAACAGTGCCATGCGAACGCCTGTTCTCACTTTCAGGTGACATTGTGAACAGGAAGCAGGCAGCATTATCTCCTGAAAATGTAAACAAACTTGTTTGAGCGATTGGCTGAACAAGAAATAAGACTGAGTGAACTTGTAGGCTCTAAAGTTTTATATTGTTTTGTTTTTTGAACGCAGTTTTTTTTGTACATAATTCTACTTTCGTAAGTTCAACTTTCATGATAAATAGATTGCACTACAGTACTTGTATGTGGTGAATTGAAAAATACTATTTTGTTTTTTACAGTGCAAACATTTGTAATCAAAAAAATATAAAGTGAGCACTGTACACTTTGTATTCGGTTATAATTGAAATCAATATATTTGAAAATGTTGAAAACATCCAAAATATTTAAATAAATTGTATTCTTCTATTGATTAATAGTGTGATTAATAGATTAATTTTTTTAATTGCGCGATTAATTGTAATTAACTTTTTTAATCGCTTGAGAGCCCTAATTTTTAGTGTACGCCACTAGAGAATCTGCGATTGGTGGTTTTTTTGTATGTGTACTATACATTGAAATAAATAACAAGTGACTCTTTTCTCCAGTGCTGACTTTTTTGAAGATGTAGTCATTCAGCATGTTTTGAAGTACAAGCCCTGGTGGGTTGATGCTTATGCAAAAAAGATGGCTTCCCAGGGAAGGAATCCTCAGGAACATGTTAGTCAAACAACATTCGGTAAGAGTGTATACATTTCATTTAATTTTTATTGCTTCTGTTCCCCATTACTTGCCAGAAAGCGGTCTTCAAGATGAAAAGTCATGGTTCTAGCTAGCAATTTCCAATCATGTAATACTAATACCACCCTTTGTCATTATTTATTTCAAGGATGATTATAATGGTTCTTTTTTTTTTTTTAAGCGTTGAGTCTCTGTTTGGATAGGAGATATATGTTGGTCATCTCTCCTGTAGTAGTTTATATATAAATGCTGGAGTTTTGTGCAGTTCGTTATTATGCAACCTCGTATCTTCAGAAGAAACTATAGTTTTAGTTCTGTCATCTGTTCTCAAGGATTATATTAGACACATCAGTGATCTGTGAAGACGCAGCTCCCTTTTAAGTCTTTGCTATAGATTTTATGGACCTCATGGAAACCTCTCAAGAATTGACAGTCATGAAATGTAATTTCAAATTAAAACTGTCTTTGTTTGGACATTATATTAGCTAGTAGGTGCGAGTGCTCCGTGTATTACTAGTATATCTCCTTTTTTCAGATTTTCGTAAGTCATTGTTCTCCTGATACCCGATATTTCCTTTTTTGAAAATACAGTAGTAATTGATTTATGTATCCACTTGTGAATATGATGGACACTGTACTGTAAGTCTCATTGTTCAGAATCATTTGCATAAAACTGCCTTAATATCAGCCAGTATTTCTACACAATATACGAATCATCTTTAGAAACTTGTATATTATATTGTTCCACAGGTGGTTATTCCACATATATTTTTTTATGTATCCTATAGGCTTCTTTCTATTCCTTGTTTTATGGCCTACAAGATGTGTTTCATCTTTAGAGGATGAACCTGTGACAGTACTATTAATGGGTATCTGTGTGAGATTACTACTTTTATATATAGTGGTTTTAGAGTTGACTGCTACCTTTATATATGTCCTCTGATCGTCATATCATCTCCTAGATGACTTAGGACAGGGTTGGGCAAACTACGTCCCGCGGGCCGGATCCGGACCTTCAGGGCTTTGGATCCGGCCTGTGGCGCCGCCGGCACCAAGTCCCTGTGGCCTCCGGGCGCGGGGGCAGAGGGCTCTGTGTGTTGCCTCCAGGCACTGCCCCCCGCAGCTCCCATTGACCGGGAATGGGGAACCGCGGCCAATAGGAGCTTCGGGGGAAGTACCTGGAGGCGTGGCAAAGGTAGCACACGCGGAGCCATTCGCCCCCCCCTCCCCCAGGGGCCGCAGCGCTTCTGGGAGCGGCGTAGGGACAGGGCAGGCAGGCAGGGAGCCTGCCCTGGCACCGGTGCGCGACACTGCCACCCCGGAGCCGCTTTAGGTAAGTGGCGCCGGGCCGGAGCCCGAACCCCTCCTGCACCCCGCCCCCCAACTCCCTGCCCTGAGCCCCCTGCCAGCATCTCGCACTCCTCCTGCACCCCTGCCCTGAGCCCCTTCCTGCACACCGCACCCCCTCTTACACCCCGCACTCTTACACACCCCAACCCCCTGCCATGGCCCTGCACACAATTTCCCCACACAGATGTGGCCCTCGGCCCAAGAAGTTTGCCCACCCCTGACTTAAGAACACAGGATTTGCCACGCTAAATGATAATTGTTAATTAATCAAACATGAGATCCATATATATAAATATTACTTTGTGTTTCTAGGCCAGAGGTGGGCAAACTTTGGCCCGCGGGGCCGTCCTGCCTGGCCCCTGAGCTCCTGGCTGGCCCCAGCACCGCCCCTGCTGTCCCCCCTCCCCCACAGCTTCAGCTCACCGTGCTGGCAGCACGATGGTGTGGCTGGCTCCAGACGGATGGCGCGGCTCGGGCAGATTTACCAGTTAACACAGGGTGCTCTTTCAGGGGCCCCCCAACAACAGGGGGACCCAGGGCCGGGCACTTGGGCCCCTCAGCACTGGCACACCCGCCGCGGGGGGGAGGGGCTGCACTGCGGGGGCAGGGGAGCAGGCGGGGGGACGGGGAATGTGGCCGGAGGACTCAGGAGGACACTGGGTGGCTGCGCAGCCGGCTGGAGAGAAGCGGCGCTTTGGAGGGGAAACTGCTGCTTCTCTCCGGCCGTGTGGCTGCCCCTGCTCCTCCTGAACCCTCCTCCGCCCATGTTCGCAGGGCCACATTCTGAAAGGGGCGGGGAGGATAGATAGGGGTGGGGTTCCAGGGGGGCGCTTAGGGGCAGGGGGTCCCAGGAGGGGGCAGTCAGGGGACAGGGAGCAGGGGGGGTGGATAGGGGGTGGGGTCCTGGGGGGCGGTTAAGTGTGGGGATTCCGGGAGGGGGTGGTCAGGGGACAAGGAGCAGGGGATTGGAAGGGTTGGGGGCTCTGAGGGGGCGGGAAGTGAGAGGGGGCAGATAGGGGGCAGGCTGTTTAGGGAGGCACAGCCTTCCGTACCTTGGGCCAAAAAGTTTGTCCACCCCTGTTCTAGGCTCTTGTTCCTTGTACTCTGAGCTTTTACACAGGAAATAGAAGGGAATCTGGGTAAACAGAGTGCGTTGCAACAGCTCTGGTGCATTCTCTCCTTGATCTCCATCCAGCCATTGCAGTGAGGCATTGTTAACATACACGTCACATACATTGGAGACACAGTAGATTAAAGACATTGGACAAAAGTGCGAGAGACTTGGAAACAAAAAAGTAGCGAGGTTTATTTCTTTTGTTTGCTCTCACTGTTCACTTCTCATTTAATAAAGTTGTGACCACATTTGGCCATGTTATAGAATACAACGAAAATGAAGAACAGTGGGCAGATTATATAGATAGAATAAATAGGGTTTTTTTTGCAAATGATGTTCCTAAAAAAAAAACAACCTTGGGCTTTACAGGAAATTACTCAGAAATTACTCAAAAGCCCGACAAGCCTTAGTGACCCAACTAGGAATAGTTATGCAGCAATTGGGACGGTCCTAAGGGACCATCTCTTTCCCAGACGGCTCATTATAGGGGAGAAATTTAGTTTTGATGTCACAAACATGATCAGAGCCCCTCAGTCTGTTGGCTGAATTTAAGAAACTCATGGCATTTTGTGAATCTCCTGTAAATTTAAATGACTCATTAAAGGACTGAATGGTGTTTGGATTATGTAATGACAGCAGCCAAAAGAAATTGTTGACTGAGAGAGTTGAAAGAAAAGAAGCTACTATTGTGTCAATGGAAACTTCAGCAAGAGATGACAGGGAACTGAGTGAGAGTCTGAAACCAATGGAGGCTGTTGAATCCTGATTTAGATGTGATAGAAGAAATCACCATGAGAGGGAGTGCAGGTTCCACTTGGAGATTTGTCATTAATGCAAATGCATAAGGGGGCAGGAAGCCTCAAAGGTACAGAAAGTATGTACATGCTATGGAGGAGCAATCAGTGAGCAATCTGAGTTCTCTGTGTTTGGAGAAAGTATTAAAGCAATAAAATCCAAGACAGTGCAGCCATTTTGAGTTATAACGAAGATTCAAGGAATTCCTATTTATACAGAGTTGGGGGTAGCAGGGATGTCACAAAAATAGTTTACTGGGTACTTAAAAGGAAAATGCAAGTTAACTGTCTCCAGATCTGTATTGGTGATATAGTCTGGAAAAGAACTGATGCCTCAGGCTATTGCCAAAGTGGAAGTGATATCGAAAGTGCACATGTAGGAATTGACACTGTATATTGTGGAAAGGGAAGGGTTTCTCTTACTGGTTGTGGGTGGCTGCGTTATCCAATAGGACTGGGCAGACATCTGATTGCAGTAAGCAAAGGTGCCATGTGTGCCTGAACCAAAGCTTGTTGAAATCAATGGGAAGGCTTTTAATGATTTCAGAGAGCTTTGTATCATGCCCATATTAAAAAGGAGGGCTAGGGCCAATGCCCAACTGCACAGTGTCAGAGAGTTTAAAAATACAGGCACTCTAGTGGCACAAACTAATATTGCATGTATTATAATATCCTTTGAGATTGATTTAGATGATGCCCATTGTATGATAAACCTGTAGCTTGTTGGGCATGTCAGTTTGTATACACTGAAAGTGTTTGTTGTGTGCCATACTGAATTTACAGCAGTGCCCATAGGGGCTGCCCTGTGTCCTCCCATGCAAGGGCATAAGGTGTGGAGTCGCCACTACCCTCACTTGGTTCCTTCTTACTGCCCTCCTCCTGCCTTCAGTGAGAGAGAACCCAGTGAGTATCCTGCTACCCCGGCTAAGCTTCAGACTTACTCCTTTTCAAACTATTTGAAGAATATTTCTTGAATGTTTCTTTTTTATTATATAGGGACAAGGTAGCATTAAGGTCTCAGCCAAAATTCATCCTCAGAGTGGTCTGAAACGTCATCTGAATCAATCCATCAAAAGACCACATTTGGCATTGGGAGCAAATAAATTGCACACTAGATGTTTCCAGGACTTTGCTTTGTTATATTGATAGGACAAAACCATTGAGATTCACCCTCTCTGTTTATGGCTATAGATGGGTGTTGTCAAGGTTAAGCCAGCTCATCTCCAAGAATATCAAAATTGGCTACAACAGTGTATCTCCTGGTGTTAACAGTTGGCTGGTGAATCTCTCCCACTGAACATCAAGACTCATTACAAAGTGACATTTGCATTCTTCAGACAATATAAGAGATGTACAAGGCGATGACATGGAGTAACCCCCTAACTTTTGTCAAACACTGTGGACTTAGCGGCTGGGTCAAGACTAAGTTTAGGAGAGCAGTATTACAATCAAGGTTTGACTGATGCAGCTGAAACTCCTCATTCCTCCCATCCTGAGGGGTAATTCTTGCCAGTCACCTGTAGTGGGATCTACACTCATGTAGTGGGATCCACCCTTTCTTGAAGAAGGAAGGACAGTTACAGTACTTGCCTTATGGTATCTTTGGTTCTTCAAGATGATGATGTCACTGTGGATCCCCTAACCTGTCCTCTATCCCTGCTTTTCAGAATCTTCAGCTACCAAGAGCTTTGAATTGCAAGGGAACTGAAGGAGGGTTTGTGGTCACTGCTCTTGCATAGA